AAATAACGAGCCATAATCTGGTCAAGCTCGTCAAGAGTAGACCTGGGGGGGTCGAGGACCATAAGCAAGTGAATCGGAAGAGAGCTAAGAGTGCTCTTGATCAGCGCTAGCCGACCACCGAAAGAAAGATATCTATGCGACCAACCAGAGATCCTATCGATCATCCTCTGTCTGACGCTCGCAAAGAGCGCTCTCGTGAGGTTGCCCTTATATAAAGGGACCCCGAGGTAAGTAATGGGAAGGTCGCCACGCGCAAAGCCAGTAATGTCGTGGACCCGCTGAGCCCACCTGTCCACTGTGGCAGATGAAAGGATGAAGGTGCTCTTCTGCACGCTGACCAGCTGACCGGTGACCGAGCCATAGTGCTCCAAAAGGCGCATGAGCTCAACCAGTCCATCATCATCCGCCCGGGTGAAGATAATGATGTCATCCGCGTAAGAAAGGTGAGAGACGGTAGGACCGTAGCCACGGGTGCTATAGGTCATGTGGGGAGAGTCGCGGGTGAAGCCGTCAAGGCAGCGAGAGAGGTAGTCCGCCGCAAGGACGAAAAGGGAAGGGGAAAGAGGGTCGCCCTGTCTAAGGCCTCTAGAAGAGGGAAAGAAATCGGTGGGGCTGCCATTAATCAGGACCGAGAACGTGCAATGCTCGACACACGCCTCCACAAAGCTGATCCAACGCTCAGGGAATCCCATCCTAGCCAACGCCTCCCTAAGAAACGGCCACTCAACTCTATCATACGCCTTAGCCATATCCAGCTTCAGCGCGATATTCGGAGCCCGCTTCCAGTCCGCTCGGGAGATGTCGTGGATCATCTCCTGGGCCAGAAGGATGTTATCACTAATGACCCGATCCTTGATGAATCCACTCTGGTTCGGAGAGATGAGAGAGGGGAGAATAGGGGAAAGACGGCCGTTAAGAATCTTCGAAATGAGCTTGTTGGTCATGTTACACAGGCTGATGGGCCTGTAATCGGACCAAGAGCTCGGATTGGGTCGTTTGGGGATCAAGACGACAGAGGTAGACGTGAAGGAATCCGGCATCCGGTGGCCGGAGAAAAAATCCAACATCGCCTCCTGGACGTCAGTCTCGACAATATACCAGCAGACCTGATAGAAGAGGGAAGAGAAACCATCCGGGCCAGAAACGCTGTTGGGATCAATCCCGAATACAGCATCCCTAACCTCCTCCCTGCTCGGGAGCTCACAGAGGCCAATGAGATCGACCGAGGGAGAGATGGTGGGGAAGAAAGAAGCGTTCGGGGCCACGAGGGACCCTCTGTCAGAGGTGAAGAGGGTCTGGAAGTGAGCAACAGCCGACTCCCGAATCTGAGCCTCCTGGGTCAAGGCTGACCCATCGGCCTCGATACTATGGATGTACGACTTAGCACGCTTCTGCCTAACGTAGCCCTGGAAGAACCTAGTATTCCGTTCGCCCTCGGCCACCCAGCGAACGGCCGCCTTCTGCTTCCAGAAGTCCTCCTCCATAAGGAGTCGGAGCTGGTACTCGGCGTGGCAGCGGTGCATGGCGGTCCTATTCTCCGGAGTGGGATCCAGGTCATAGGCCCGCTCAGCCGACGCATGCGCACTCTGAGCTGCAGTAAGGCGGTGATG